TAGATTTCTAGATTTTAAGCCTGGATTAATTTCACCTTACTTTAGTTATCTATCTCCTCCCTTGCAGGACACCCTTCCAGACTCTCACTCCCCAAATGGCTGCCATTTGTGACCAGTACAGACTGTCATTCCCATCTCTAGGAACCTGAATTAGGTGCCTAAACTTAGATTAGGAGAAGCCAGGCTTAGTGCGTCAAAAGTTTGCAGACAAGTAAAAGTGTCTGAGTGTTTTATGTTTGTCTGTGGTGGGTGGCACATACCAGTTACCAAATTATGGGGGTACTTTTACATAGTGTTTAGTACAGAGGAATCCCAGCTGGATTGGTTACTCAGCTCTGCCCTCATCTGAATGTTACCATTAAGGACATTCTCTTTCCTTGACTGTAGCATTTTAATGTCCCTCTTTGAACAAGTTCATCAAGTCTTAATAAACTGAACAGATAGACCTGGAAAGTTCCATCAGCAAATTAAAGTTACCTAATCTAGAATGACTTTAGCCTACTGGAATAGGAAATACTCCTATACTAGTCTTAGTAGATAGTATCCCTTAATGTAGTAGTATCCATCCTAGAATTTTAGATAGATGTGAAAGTCTTCTATAGAAAAGCTGACATAAGGAATTTAAAAATGCAGTTATTTCCCTTAAATGTGCTGCATAACCCTGACACCTTATCACAGCAATGCAAGCTGATTTCAACATCAGGTTTTCTACTGAAACTGTGTAGACCAACTTTATAACTTTAGGTGCTATGCCAAACCTCTTTGAATTAATGTTTTTTTAGTGAGCCTCAGATCAGGTTCATATGGTTATCAAGGGATGCATAAAATCTTGTAGATAATTTTATACAAATAGATTTTGTTCTGTGATTGAATGTGATATTTAAGTGTTCTAATTAAAAAGAGAGAGACTAGGAAAAGGTCACAGCTAAGTACATTTGAATATGGAAGCTGCTTTCAAGTGGTACAGAAAAGTGTCATGCTTAAATTAGTTAGTCTAAGCCAAATTTAAAATATTATTTTCTGTAGCTTCGTAGTGAGTAATACATTTCATGATATTAAGGTTTAAATTCAAGAAAGAAAATTAAATCATTGAGTCCAACCTTCTGTGTAAGACCAGTCATCATATTTTTCTGCCAAATGTTGTTTATATTGAGTTCTATGAGTTTAATTAGATGAAGGCATTTTAGTCCTTGGAAGTTTACAGTTTACCCCAAAAGAAATCAGGTGATATTGGGATGTCAGCAGTGTCTAAGACCCTTCGATTTAGTAAGACAAGCTCACAGGCTACACGAGAAGGAAGTAACAAATAATTGTAATCTAAAAACTATTTTGTATACTAATTAGCCAATGTCTAATCCTCCAGAGAAAGGCAAAAAGCCTCGAATATATATGGACAGTTGTATATTGTAAAAAAAAAAAAATCTGTTGAGTGCCTACTGAATCCTTAAAATTGTAATTTATTAGATCAATGACTTGGTGCAAAACTGTAGACTTCAGCATACAGATCGCAATGTAGTTTTTCCTTCCTTTCCCATGGAAATAAGAGACACTATGAGGCTGTCACTGCCACCAGACCCAGCTTCCTGCATGCAGGACAGTTTTGGTTTGTTCCCCGCTGCCCCAATTGCTGACTTCGAGAGACTCTAAATGACGAACAGTGATTAAGGTCAGTTAGAAAAAAATAAATTTATTTGAAGTTTCATTTTGTCTCTCGCTTCCATAAACCAAGATCTTGCTTTGCTTTGTCAGAGAACATGTACAGCTTACTACAGGATAACTTTTCTGTGCATGTACTGACATAGGGCAAGTCATATCTCTGTCTTCTTTGAGGAGCTGAATAAATGCTGTTCCTTAATTTTCATGTTACTAGCTTTGACATTAAGCTTCCAGAGTTTTTGTCTTCTGGAATATTTCTCTCAGTTGAACTCTGTCTGCTGTTTGCACGTTTTTTTCAAATGTGGAAAACAAATCTTGTCGCAGTAATCTAATAACAGTCTTGCCAATACAGCCTAGATTGCAAGATAACTTAATTCTGTGTATTGCTCCCCATTGCCACAGTGCTTTCATGCCAAAGCATGAAAGATCATGTTGAAATGATTATCTGTGACCACCTCTAAATCCTTCTCAAAGGCACTGCTTGCCAAGATAGTTTCCTATCCTGTACATAACTACCTGCATTATTTGTCCCCTCATTAATTGCTTGCATTTGGCTGTATTAAAATGGGTTTTTTTTGACAAGTGATTTAACAAGCTGTTATTTTTACTATCCCTACCAATTTTTATCTTGTCCACAGACTGTACTAGCAAAGCTACATCACTGTCTAAAGGTCATTGATGTGAACAAATAGAATTGAAGCTGATTCCTGCTAGAAGTGTGTCTGTCTTCTGATGTCTTTGTATGAACAGCTACAGTTGAGATCTGTCAGAAGGCCTGTCTTAATCTGTGCTGTCTCTTCATGTATTGTATATTTGTCAAGAAAGATATCTTGTGGTGGGAAGTTAAACACACCAAAAAAATCCAAGTGTAATGTATCACTTTATCTGAAAGTCACATAGTACTCTAAAACAAAGCAAAGCTGTCAATCAGGCAGACAAAAACAGGTTTTTTTTGGTGAAACTATGATAAATTACTGTTACTTTTCTGTCTTATTCTGTTAAAGTCACATAGGATTTTATCCAGTACTGCTGCAAGGATGAGGTGTTATTTTAAAAAGCTGTGCCTTTTGAGATATATCTGAATGTCAGAATTTTTTAAAGTTTTCTTGAACTAACTGAAAAAGAGCTAGTACTAACTGTTCAGCACTACCAGTTCATGACAGTGCTGGCTGATTTAAGTAGTAGGTCTTCAGATTTACAGATATATACATGACACGGTGGTGTTTGGACAAAATTTAACAGACTGATCATTGCAGTGATCCAAACTTAATTTTTACTTATGCTATCTGCCACTCTTCTGACTGCTTTTCCGTATGGGATTACTGTGAATATCTGTAAAGTGCACAAAGTAACAGTCTTTGTACATAAATGTCAGCAATATTTAAAAAGTATGTTAATTAGATTGTGTAGCCATTGCTGTAACAAGCCACAGCTTTTAGCGTTTCTTTGTTGTATTTTGAAGATTCTCTTCACTGATGCAGGACAGACAGATTTTAGTTTTCTTCTGAAGATCAGTGGCTTTCTTCTAAAGTTGTCGTTATACCTACAATTCCTGTCAAACATATGGAAATGTAGGAACTGACTCCCTCATCTGGTCTACTGCCCTGTTTTTGACATTGTTGACAGGAGATCTCTCAGAGGAAGTTCAGGGGAAAACCTGGTGGATAATTATGGGAAGGTTCATTCTGTTATTAATACTTATTTAGTAAGGAACCATAAATTGTATTTTGCCTCACACACACAAAATAAATTAACATTTAACTATTAATATAGTCAGATTTAATTAACTGTTTAAGCAAAGCTATACTCAGCAGTTTGTATTGTGTTAACAGGACCATAGAATAGTTTGGGTTGAAAGAGACCTTTAATGGCCATCTAGTCCAACTCCCCTGCAATGAGCAGGGACATCTTCAACTAGATCAGGTTGCTCATAGCCCCGAACACCCTGACCTTGAATGTTTCCAGGGGTGGGACATCTACCACCTCTCTGGGCAACCTGTTCCAGTGTTTCACCACCCTCATTGTGAAAAATTTCTTCCTTACATCTTCTCTAAATCTACCCTATTTTAGTTTAAAACCATTATCCCTTGTCCTACTCCAACAGGCCCTTTTAAAGAGTTTGTTCCCATCTTTCTTGTAAGACCCCTTAAGTACTGGAAGCTTAACCCACGACATGCTATAAGATGTCCCTGGAGCCTTCTCTTCTTCAGGCTGAACAACCCCAACTCTCTCAGCCTTTCCTCATAGGAGAGGTATTCCATCCCTCTAATCATTTTTGTGGCCCTCCTCTGGACCCACTCCAACAGGTCCATGGCTCTCCTGTGCCGAGGACTCCAGAGCTGGACGAAGTACTCCTGGTGGGGTCTCACCAGAGCAGAGTAGAGGGGGAGAATCACCTCCCTTGACCTGCTGTCTGCAATAAAGACCTTTACTGCATTCTTTGCTTCTCACAATTACTTGAAAAGATGCATTTATTTATTATGAATTTCCTTGTACCTGTACTCTGTTAATTATTCTGCACGCATTCAATGAGGAATAATGTCATGTCTCCATGAAAGCTCTGCACAAATTATTTATTTTAAAATAATGCACAGCTGATGGTCTTCCTTACGACACTGTGAAATGCACATTCACAAGGAAACAAAGAGTCTGAGCATATTAACATTACAATGATATCACGACAACTCCTTAAGTAAGGTGTTTAATCGCATTGAATAAACCTTCAGCTGATATTAATATTAACAGGAAAATGAAATGACTAGCTTTCCTTTATAAATGCAAGTATTTATATCACAAGTTAGCCGCTAATTGTCAAAAGCAAGATGTTAAAATGCAGTGACACAATATAGACAACATATTCTTAAATAGGCAGTAAATGAAGTCATTCAGATATCCCATCTGGATATTTACCATGTGACATTGCTAGGAGCAACTCCTTAGTTCACTAACATCTGATGGACCAGATGTTGCAACTGGAAGAATTCTTTCCACCGCTCTGCATCTCAGAGCAAAGGGGTGTGATGTAGCACAGGGATTGTACCTTCAGCACCCTGTTGTGCAACATTTTCCTGAGCACCTTTCTCTGGGAAACAAAAAAAAAATTCATACAAACCAGGAAATATTTAGGAAATAAAGCATGTTTGTTAAAACCAAGGCACTGTTAATCTCGAAGTACTGTATTTTGGTTATGAAATCATTAAAATTATTTCATACTCTTGCTTTGAAGAATATTTCCTTTTAAAAGAGCTGCTAAACATTTAGAAAAAATATGGATCATCTCATGGAGGATTTTTGTAGCCAGTTCTGAACACTGAGTATTAAAGAACTGTGTGCTAGATTCTGACTTTCTCTTTTTTGCAGATGGTCCTGTATCAGTTGGAATGAGTCTGGATATTGCAAGCATTGATACAATATCAGAAATAAATATGGTATTGTAGCTTTTGCCATCTTTTTTCTTTTGCTTGTTGATAAGCTAATGTCTTGTGTTTACAGCTGCCTGCACTGCGACTTTGATGCTTTTCTCCCTGTGCAGTCAATGTGTGTTAGGAGATGGAATTTTACTTTTCACTACAGATAGTGGTTATGCACTGTAATAAGTATAGAAATGCAGATGCAAATCACACCTCTCATAGATGCAAAGAGAAATTTGCTGCTGAGTATTAATCTTAATGAAAGGCATGTAGAGCATTTCTTTTCCAGTTGAGATGTCTAAATCTTTATACATTTCACAAAATTAAAGGTACGTTCATGTGATTTTGAAGTCACTTTCCTTGTGATTAGGCACAGCTGAACTAATTTTTCTCTTTTACTGTTACTGTCACACATTAATTTGTTCCAGCTGTGTTTTGTTACATTTGTATAATTTTTTTTTGAACAAACTATGAAATAGAGTATACTTTTCTAATTAAAGATCCTCCATTGGTACATAGAAATAAAAGAGAAAATTCATTAATCAGATATTTAGTGTTAGAAAATGTGATATTTATATATATATAAATATTAAGTATATGTGTATACATGTGCATAAATTTACCTCTCCATTTCATTACTCGGGCTTCCAGAGAAGTTGAATGTGAGTATCCCTCTGTACTCAGTGAGTATTCATAGGTACTTAGAAAGGAGAAGTAAGGATAGAACTTAGGATGAATGTTTCATAATGATAAAAACTCACCATAAATTCAAATTTGTTTAAAAAAGTGCTAAGAAATAGTGTGATTTTAGTGTAAGACAAGGCATATCTGAATCGAAGGTGAATTGAGCTGAGAGCTTTATTCAAGGTCTCGATAAATTTAGCACCACTGTTTCCCTTGCAATGGTGAAAGGTTAAATTGTGCTAAAAGATGATGATTGCCTTCCTATTTCACCATTTATTTTGTCCTTTTGTCTATCTGAATTTATACAACTTTTTCCAAAGTTTTCTTAAAAAAATGCATTCTTTAGTACTTTATGAGAACAAAATTATGTTTGCAACCACTTAAATAAATCATGATAAAAGTTAAAGATTTACAGAGCCAGATTATCTGCTTACAAAACTCTGATGACTTCAGCTGATTTGTAGCCCCAGACGTAGGCCATCAGCTTTTACTGTAAAATTCCAATGACTGTAAGAACTAAATCTACTCAAGAGAATATTTCTTAATGATGTCAAACTAACATCAAGTGCTGGAAAAAAATTTGGCAGTGCAAGAGCCAGTACAACTTCTATCAGAGTGCCAGCATTTAAGACAGGAACATGGAGAGTCACAGACTGTTTCCCAACAGCTGTTTCCATATGCTTTTGTAAAACAGAATATAATACAGGCTTGCTCTGTATGGTAACTTTGTTTTTTCTCTTTCAGGACTACACAGCTACCATATTTCTTAGGCAGCGATGGACTGATGAGAGACTTTGTTTTGATGGTAATAAGAGTTTAAGCTTAGATGGTCGGCTTGTGGAAATGCTTTGGGTACCAGATACCTTCATAGTTGATTCAAAAAAATCTTTTCTTCATGATATCACTGTTGAGAATCGTCTTATAAGAATATACCCTAATGGAACAGTCTTGTATGCTCTGAGGTATGTATATACCACATACCAGCCTTTGTATTTGGCTTCTACTTTTAAACTTTCCAGGCTAGCACAATTTTATGCTTAAGAAACTGGTCTATTTGTAAAAGAATATGCTTGGCCTTGTAGTTTTATGAATGTGTAATATTATTGACCAATATGATTAAGTTCTTAAATTTAATGATAGGTCTCATTTTCTTCCCTAAATCGATCCTTTTTACTATTACAGGAATTGTATTTTGCCATTTTAGTTGTTTTGCAATGAAGTCATCACAAAGGAAAGCAAGCTGTAGTGATTGATTTACATTATTTATTGCAGATTATCCTTTATAAACACATTTTGATAAATATAACAAAATTGTAAAATGTATTGCAATATATCAACACAGGGAAACGCACACTGTAGGTGAGAGGGGAGCAAGGGGTGGCCGTTTTAGACTGCCACTAAACTCAGCTGTTCTGGAGTGGTTTCCTGTTTTGGATGCTGTTGCTCTTCCACATTAGATACCAGGAAATAGATTTTTTTTTTTTCCTCATGATAGATATTTGCCTGTAAATATTAGTTCAAGAAGTATATATGGCTTATTTTTATTTTTACTGATGAACAATTTTATTCCATTAATAATCAGAAATATATATATATGTATATATACATTTTTTTTTTCCCAAGGATCACCACAACTGTTGCATGCAGCATGGATCTGACCAAATATCCCATGGATAAACAGACGTGTACTTTGCAACTGGAAAGCTGTAAGACACTTTATTTTTATTAGTTTTATACAATTAGGAAAATACCTGTGATCTCTTCCAAGGGTTTACTGGATATTATTATTAAAGAGCCTGGAATTTTCAAAGAAGCAAGGGACAGCATGTAACCAGTCCCTGCTGAGTTACAATAGTATCTGTATACAAAGATAAATGCATGAGGCTTCACAGAAAAAAGCAGTCAGTACTGAAATGCTGCCATGCTATTAATGATTAATCGTTAAACAAAATCTCAGGAGATTATCATAGGTCTGGTTTTGCAGTGCGTCCTGCAGTTATTCTGTTGGTCTTCAGGGGGAGTTCTGTGAGCAGACATTTTCCAGCAGAGCCAAGAAAAGATTTTTTTTCCTCTTTCAGACAGTGTGTGTTTCCCCTCTCCTGCCCTTGAGGCACAATTCCTTTAGGAAAGAAAGAAATTAGAATAAGGCCTATGTATAACTCATAGAGTTAATATTAAATTAATTTACTGTTTTCATACTGGAAAAAAGGTAATTGCATAGGCAGTTCTGTTCTGAGATGGATATATGCAGATCCTTCTATGACTTATTTAATTGCCTCTGTGCCATTGCCCTGGGAAAGAATGCCATCAATTGATGGACCAAGACTAGATATACCTTTATAGGGTCTCATTTCATCAATCAATTTTCATTAAAATATGCTTTCTAATACTTTGTAGACACGGTTGCTTTGCAAATACCCAAATGTGCAGGTTTATAGTTAACTTTTTGCTATTATTCATATGATAAGACTCTAGCAAAATATTTTTGCATGGGATAATGTAAAAGGATACCCAGTCCTGTAAGATGAAAATATATATTCAAATATATGTCCATACAAATTCAAAATATTTTGGAAAGTTTTTCAGTACTCGGCAAGTTTTATTCTTTAGCATTTCAGAAGTGTGTGGGTATTCTTTATCTCTTGTTGTTAATAACCAGTTAGAAGGCTGCTGCAAAGTTTCATTTTAGACAGGAACACAAAGGAAATCAACCCAAAAAACTCCCTCACACAGGAGTCTCTCTAGAATCAGCAGTTTTATAAGATCTGTTTAACAAATAATGATTTGAGTTAGAATTTTGATCTATCTCTAAATTATTTTCCTTTGGAAGACCATATTGGTAAATCAATGTATATGGATTTACATCAACAGCAGTGCCTAATGAGTCATTTAATATTTTCTCTAGTTCCAGAATGAAATATATGTCCCACAGGAACTTAAAATTTATTTCACAGGATTGAAAAAGCAGAATTCCCTGTATAATTAAAAATAAGCATTTTCAGAATGATCCCAGCTGCTTTTTCAACAACACAGAAGTGTCTCCTGTCTAAAGGGAAAACATAGTAATGTCTTCACAAATGCTCCCGTGACATTGGTGTTTAGTTTTGAGGAAAAGAGCTAGAAGCAATATTTTTTTGTGCCTTTAGCTGTGGACCATTTTTCTTTGGTGCACTGCAATGCTTTCTTCTGGGTATGCTGGAAATGGTGTTTGTTTCCTCATTAGATAAACTATGTCAATTTATAGATGAATAATGACATCATCCCAGAATATTACTTACAAATAATACAAATATCTGGAATTAAGAATTGTGAATGCAAACATGCATACACATTCACACAAATACTGATGTATTTATAAATAAAATGTAAAATATAGAACAAATATTTGAGCTGATTGATACAAAGTGTTAAGCCTTTTATTAAGTGATTACTAATGTAAAGACAAACACGACATGATATTAGCAAGTAATGGCTTTACACAATAAAGCATCCCTAGTGGCCTTTACAATGTGCTACTCTGCAATTAGTAGTGAATGGCTTTGATTACCAACTTAAACTTTCTACACAGCAAAACACATTTCAGACAAAATGTCTATTTTTTTTCTCCCCTGTCATTGCAACACTTTAGGAGGTGGTACAGGCATATGTTAGGAGACAGAGAGATGCCACTGAGTCTCTGTGGATATAGCAGTGGTGACATGTGGGGACTTGGAGGGCTCCTGTCTCGGTTGGTGCTGCCAGGGGGTTCATATTCTCTGCTGTGTGGTGGGGAACACCACCATTTATTCACTCTGGGCTGAGGGATTTTTTCCTCTTTTTTTGCCCCACACAGGCCTCCAATCCAAATACATATTCATGTTTTGGGCCCATCTCTGAAATTTTATTTCCTTTTTGAACTTGTCCTTTAGCATTTATTCAGTGAAGAGCCATGTGAAGGCACTTAACTTGTGCTTGACAATCAGAGGAAATTAAAATTAGCAACAGAAAGTTAAAGGAATTCATTTGTATTAGGCATATGAATGTTTAATCCCAAATTTACTATTCCTGGAGTTAACTCTATTGACATTAGTGGCTCGTACTTATGAACGAAGTAGAGGAATGAGACATTTTGGGCTTGGGGAATTAGAATGAAAACCCAGTGTCATGCAAAGAGAATAGAGATTAATTGTAAAAGCCAAATAACATGGCTTAAGGATTTTGTCTATACAAACTTTTAAAACTTTTTATAATTAGTAAAATATTAATCCCCTGAATAAAGAATAATTTTACACAGAGGGAGTACTGTGCTGTTTAACTCCACTGACTATTGGGAAGACTCTCCCCATGAAAATTCTTCACAAGCAGAGATTTGGAATTAGTATTTTCAAAGAACTTTCATAGGAAGGATCACCCAAACATACTAATTGTTCAGCTAATAAAAATACTTTGGAACAAAAATGATTTGGAAATATGCTTGTTACCACCCATCCAGGAATCGAGAATTTCTCCCATCTTGCACAACTTGGAAGACTCAATATCTTGTAAAAATAAATAAGAATTTACTGTGGTACTCTATTTAAATATCTGCAGTTCATTTATACTGAAGGAATGTAAAATTAATCCATGCCTGTAGTCGTGCATAGAAACCCCTTCTGCAAACCTCTGTATTTTGTCTGAGGACAATGCAATCATTTGTTTGTAGGTAACGTTACACTTAGTTTTAATGTCTGAAATCTGGGAAATTTCCCAGCATGTGGTTTTAGAGAATCAAGAACTTAACTTGGATGCACATGCTTTTGGCTTGCTCTTTTGATACAGCAGTGTTTTGGCTTTAATTGCTATAAGTGGGATAATGTGAGCAGAGGTCCCGGTCACGATACCTTTTTCAGAACACTGCCTGTGATAGTGAAAACAAGATTTACATGTAAAGAATGGTCAGGGAAAGAATTTCCCAGTGAAATTATAATTTTAATTGGTAACCAGCACAGTGTCTCCTTGAAATGAATTTTCTGAGCTCCTATTTTTCCTACATTAAATTGCTGTAGGAAAATAGATTTTTTTTTTGTCATTGCAAGAACCAAAGCCATTAAATGAAAAATATTAAAATACCCTAAAATGCCTATTTGAATGCATCTCTTTTTCTTTGATTCTAGCGCTTTGTTCTTTTTGCAGCATATACCCTTGTGCAATGTATTGCATTATTGTCTTACACTGTAATTTACTTACAATTGACTGGTGTCTAAAAATAAACATCTGCTCATGTTACTGTCCCCTAAGCTTAGCTATTAACTTGCACAATATAAGTCTGTCAAATACAAGAATGATTGATCTAAGTAAGCTAAAGGAAAAGATGTTCAAATGCTCCCTGTTAACATGTAAATTGCATTAACATAATCTTGAATTAATCATATACACTAGTTTGGAAATTGCCTGCCTTTTAATATAATGGGAAAAAAGCTACAGAGGTATTTTAGCTGTGATTGTGCCGCATATTGACAAGTGTGTGCAAAATACAGTTGCCTTCTGATAGATGATTCACCTCCTGTCTCAGCTCCTAATTACTACTTGAAGGTTAAGAGGAAATCTCCTGGGGCCCCTGCAGCATGCCATGCTGTTGAGCCTGCAGAAACGTCAACATCTAAGCTGGTGTCCTTGGGAAGTGTCCAAGCTCTTAAGCCAAAATGTCATCCCCAGTGACGACCCAAGCCCAGCTCAGAGCAAAGCACCAGCACACAGCAGCCCTCCTGCTCACCTTGCCCCTTTGTTTCTATGGGAATGAGGACCAAATGCACTGCATTCAGAAACAGCATCAAAGGGCACACTTAATGTTTAGTCCAAATGCTGGCAGAGCAGTAATTCATAAAAGCTCTATTTATTTAAATCTTAATAGCTTTTGCCTTTAGAATACCATGTGGTACTAATCTCTTATGAGTGTATGTTGTCTATACTAGAATAAAAGATAAAAAAAGACCACCTCTGAAAAAGCCAGCTTTTAAATTTTGAGACTTTACATGTTCTTGGGAGTTTTATTGCAAACAGGCATTATGTTCTGCCAAAAACTGTCGTTGTTTATGTCTAATTGTACTTTCAGATGGACAAATAAGAAACAGACGAACCATAAGTGGGCTCAACACAAATTAATTATTGTGTAAAATAAACACTTTTGTTGGCTTGTTTATCACCACAGGGGGTTATAACATCAATGATGTCATGTTTTACTGGACTAGAGGAAATGATTCAGTTCGAGGTTTGGACACACTCCAACTGGCACAATATACAGTAGAAGACCACTTTACCTCCGTATCTGAAGCGGTATATGAGACAGGTAAAAACACCCTTCTAATACTTTCTAGGTACAGTTTGGAATACGGCTCTGGAAACAGAGCAGTGTTAAGGGATGAGCACATTCCTTTCTCTTAGGATGACAGTTTTCATGTTATGCTAGATTACATTCTTGAAACCATATGTACATTTCCAGACGTTACTAGCAGAGACCCAGCTCATGTAAAGGTTGAGAGTTTTTGAGCATTTTCTTGGAGGCTGTGCATTATCTAAAGAATGATAAACAAGAAATAAACCATTTCTTCCACATAATGTCAGGGAGAGCTTTTGTCAAAGAAGAGCCTCTAAGTTGGGCATTTAAATTGGAGAAAGACCAGGGACCCTGGGCACCCAGCTCAGAACAGTTCCCAGCCTTCCTGGAAATAGCTGCTCTGGCTTTGTTATGCAAGTCAAAAGCCTCCTTTCAGCCCTAGAAATTTCTATGAATGTGCTTGGTGCTTTTACAACTGGAGGAAGTTGGGTTTCATGGCCAGTGCTTGTCAGAGTTGCTCTTTAAGTGTGGCAGCCTCTGTCCAGCCCGGTGGGCAGCAGAGCGTGGTTTCTCTATTCCTCTGTTGGGGATTTCTGCTTTAATAATTCAGCACAGAGAAACTTTATTATCTAATTTCAGGTGTTAATTCAGGGTGAAAGTAAAAGTCCTCTAAATGGATACAAAAGTAGAAATGAAATATATACTAGGAGGCTCCAACATCACAAAGTATCTTGCTACTTGCAAAAGTGACATCTGCTTGTCTTCCTCCTCTTTTACAGCTTCTGGGTAAGCAACATCAGGTTCAATTAGAGGAGAATAATCCTTCACTGCTGTTCTGCCCAGAAGGGTATTAGGACCTGTTCACCACCCAGGAAAGAGGAAGAGGAAGCCTGCTTAATTCTGATGATCTTCTGTTGTAGGGTCCAGACTCTAAAGCCAAAAAAAAGTTCTGTTAATTTTTACCAAATAGAATAAAACCAATTTCCAATTACACCTGAAGTGGCACGATGCGATGAACTGTGCTCTTCTTTTCAGTAAATGACTCTGTCTTCCTCCCTTTACATTGGCAGTAATCATATGTATAAAGTCAAAAGCCACTTTTTTCTTTTAATTATATATTTTAACACATGCAACTTAATTAGATTGAAATTTCACACACCTGCTTGTTTCAATTCTCCTGTTCAAGAAACCCGCGTTATCAAGTGCTACGCAGTACTTTTAAAATGGAATCTCATAATCCTCTTAATTTTCTATTGAGTCGCTACGAATTAGGGGCTGTTTTCTACCGATTTTTTTTTTTTTTTTAAGGAAAGCAGTGCCTACTGTAGCCCATGTTAAAGGAAAAAAGCAACCAGATTATGGAACTACATAATCAATTTAGAAATGAAAAATTATGTTTTGCATTTCCTTAACACCATTAATAGATATGAGAGTATTTTATAAATAAGTTACATTATAAATAACAGTTACTCACAAGGCTAAGGCTAGAAATGTGAGAGAAGAGCTGTGTGTAGTATTTCCTAACTCAGCAAAAAAAGCAATCAGGATTTGATGCTCTGTGAACTTGAACAGACAGTACAGCTGCCATGCAAGTGAAATACTGTACAACAGTGTAAACCCCAAGTTCATGTACATGCACTGACAGAGCCAAATTTAAAATGTGGTCAGCAAAATTCTTGCATAAGTAACTTCAGTAAATTTAAGAAAAGGACATTATGGATTAATCTTGTTTATAGAAGAGCATGTATCACGTAACAGTAATCACATTGTTGTAATCACATAATATCAAGTCACTTCAAATAGTGTTAGCTAGACTGCTGGCTAGGGTTTGGTGTTGATTTTGTTTTGGTACAGACCAATTTCATTTTGGATATAGGTAAATTAATTGCTAGAACAATTTGCTACACATCTTTTAAGTATAGTCCTTATTCTGCATACACTGATACACTCTTGGACCCCAAAACCATCTATGTGCATCCATGGCTGCTGAGTTTTTATTTTAGCTGACTAGCCAACACCACCTGCATTATCAGAGTAATAAATAGTGATATAAAAAGCTTGTCTTTCTTATTGGAAAAACATAAAAGCAATGAAGGACTGTTACAATCCAGCTTTTTGTGTAAATAATCTTTGAAATGCACTTTAAGAATTCATTTAGTCTATTCCAATGTTGCAAGGCAAGGTCATCTATATCTTCAGCCTACTTCCTGACAGATGTTTCTAGAAGTAAGTTAGACAAACCACCGATGTGTCTGCTTCACCCTCCCTAGATGATTTTTGTCTGGTGATTATTACACGCATATTTTCCTCATGTCTAATCTTGATATCCCTTGCTGCATTTCAAACCCATTACGTGGATATAGAAGACAAATTTCCTGCTATTTTTCAGCAGCCCTTTCACTATTTCAGGACAGATATATCTTAACTCAGACCAACACTTTACCTCTTTTTAATAAATATAAAAGCTTTCCTAGATCTCCTGTTTTTGCTATTGGTCTCCCATTGAATTTCTCATATCTTTGCTGATGTGCAGCACCCAAAAATGGGTACCTGTTTCCATCGGATGTCCTCCATAGAGGAGAGGGTTTACGTAATGCATTTCATGAACTCCGTTCCACTTTATTGATTCCAGGTTGATATTTGCTTTTCTTGCAGGAAATTGTTGTGCTTTTTTGACCTTGTTCAGCTTGCCATTCCTTCTAGTACTTCACCTCCTTTATTGCCCTGTAGCCACATATTTCCTGTGCTCTATTTAGGGAAACTAATTCCCATGTAAGTGTAGGACTTTGTACTTGCTTTTGTTGAATTGCATCTTGTTTTACTCAGGCTGATAGTTGTTGAAATAATTTTGAACTCTAATCCTATTCACCAATGTGCTAATGCTCCTCTCTTAAAAGACACTTGGCATGTCATCATGTTTGTTAGTGAGCTGTACTGGGCACAGGACATACCCCATGTGTTCCCACTTGATAAATGCTTCTGTTTTCACAGCAAGTGATGGCTAATTAATCTCAATTAACATTTTTAATTGGAGAAAGAAGCCGAACTATCATTTAATACTTGAGGCTAATTGGTTGTTGATAGCTTTTCTGCTGGCCAACATCTTTCCTTAAGCCTTGCTCTCACTACTGCAACCCTCCTGCCAAGTCCTCAGCAGCAGTAGGAATGAAGAAGCTCAGCTTGCTCAAGTCTATCTAGTCTAACACTGGGTTTTCAGCTTGAGCCCAGAAGGCGAGGAGAGTTACGTCAGGCAGTCAGGGCTCTCAGTGCACTTCCCTGCTTAGAAAACTGTAAAGTCAGCCAAAATGGCATGTTCGAATGTTATTATTTTGGCAGAACAGAGGGAAAGAAGAGACAAAAGCATAAAGTCATTCTCCTCTCCTTGATGCACAAAGACAAGACTTTTTCCCTCTTGAAAAAGACTGCAAAGGGAGCTGGCTGCTGTTCCTTGTCTGCAGTGACTGCCAGGGTTTTGATGTCTGTCACAAATCCTGCTTTAGCCTCATTGGGCTGGAGGTCTCGTCAGACCCCATTTGGCTATGCAGTGTTGAAGCTTTGCTGACCCCTCTCCACTGGCTTCTCAGGTGGGAGGTCACAACTAAGCCAGCAATGAGTTGCGCTCATTTATAATTAGTGATCTGAAAGTCAAAAAGTGTATAAACTATATATAAACTATAAAGGGTGTATAAGAATGAATAAATGTAACAGACTCCTACACAGAGTGTATGTTCATCAGTCAGTCTCTTTTGAAATAGAGGCACTACTTTGCTTTGTCTTACAGGCCCATCTGCAGTTTCCCAAGGCTCACGAGATTTCTTAGTTAAAAATCAAACTTTTATGGGATTTTCAATTCTTCCCTTTTTGAGGTACGGTACACTGAGTAACTTCTCTCATTCCCTTTAACAGTTCTTTTATAATCTGTAATTGCTCTCCCAGTGTTATTTCTGAGAACCTCTTCTTTGCCACACAGGGCTGGCCAACAATTTCGTAACCATATTCAGCATAATGTTATCTGCTGAGTCTTTGGTCAGCCTCACCTAAGGTTCAAGAAGTTACATATGCATATATATTAGTTACCATGTTATGTTCAATTTACCTATCTGAGCTCTTATAATCCCTCTCTGTAAGTAAGTTTTTCCACTGGAGTTGATGTTGAAAATTCCTCCATCATGAGTTGTTTTTGGGATATTTCTGCAATGCAGAACAGTTAGAAACAAAACAGTTTTGGAAAATGCATTGAATAAGTTACAGTAATGTAAAAACATATGAAAAAGCAACAAATAGAATGAATATCAAGGATATTAAGAAGAGGCATTTTTTTATTAACTTCTGGGAAGTTCTTTGTAGTATAGACAGAAATACACATAAACACTTGGAAAACTTCCTGTGGCATCATTTTTTGCAAGTTTTTTTTACAGGTAAGCTAAACAGATAAATATATCTGCACACAAACATTGCATGAAATGGTTTGTTTCATTCTTGGGAAATTTGAATTTCAAACTCACTTTTTGTAAAGCATTTTCATGAAGATGAAACACATGTTGAGAAGCCTGATCTGATCTTTCATTTCCTTTAGTTCACCTCTGAAGAACAAGTAAGGAAAGAGGTAGTTTGTAAGGTTTTGACTGTGAAGAACAGAAGACTGATTGTTCTCTGAGGGAGGGACAAAAGAGCTGTAAAAAAGTATTAACCATGTGTATTGACACCCTTAGCATCCTACATCAGTCAGAGAATTGCATTTCAGTTGCACAACTTATTTTTTGGATAAAAGTGGGGACACTACGCATTCCTTAACACATATGTTCATCTTAAACACACAATAAAAAAATGCATACTGAAAACTACATTTTCAGCACATAGTTAAGGCAGTAAAATTCTGTTTAAAGCTTTCCCATACTGTGTCCTTAAAAGGTGCAAGAAGAGAAGAAAATGATGCATCAGTTGAGTTATACTGACATTCTTGTGTGAGATGTACATCACATGTTTTAGCTGGCACCCAAGGGGTTAGCATA